TTGCAGATGTCTGCATTTAAATATGAACTTTATCTTTCTCAGTCCTGGTTTTCCTCTTTCATTAGCCTGCATGGAGGTCAGAGACCCTCTTATCTCATGGGCTACCCCTGCAAGGACCCAGGAGCTCACTGGGCTCCCCTTGCAGCTTTTACTGAGGTGGGGATAGAACTTCTGCTTGCTCCCCCACCCTCTGAGAACAGGAAAGGATTTGCCCTGGCTAATAGCTGCACAGGCACAAAGTCATCTGCATCCACACTTTTGCTTCCATGTGCACTGCATCTTCACACCTGCCCCTGGCTTTGGCAGCTGCCTGGCATGGAGCCTCTATGCATCTCAAAAACACCACAGCCCCCAAAACCCCTGATGGCACTTGAAGTCCTGGGGCAGCTCACAAGGCAGTGCTGGTAATATTGGCCCCTATTTACCTGGTGAGCCTGTCCTGCACATGAACCAAGAAGCTGCTTCCTCGCTAAAACTGGAGAGGGCAATGTCCTTGTGCACAATTGCTGCCCCAGTGCTGTGATGCTCCTGCCAGGATGGACCCCCCCAGTCTCTGAACAGACACATGAGAAGTCAAGGGGAAATGCTGGCTTGTAGCACTGTGTCCACCTGCCCCGCTGAGTCCAGGCACTGCTACCCTCCCAAACCCTCCTAGGGATTCAATACCTGCATTGCAGCACGCACATCACCCGCTTCTGGCCCTGCGTGTTTTCAGGGCTGCTGGAGAAGGTAAAAGGGAAAAGACAGAATCTTTAAAAAAAAAAATCCTAAATGGATGTATGTTTCAGTCTTATTAAGTTGAAGTATTCTTTCCTGTTACTGCATTTTTATGGGAATATTTTCAACCTGCTGCAAAGACTAAGAAATGCTGATTTTAAAATATTCTAAACAAGATATAGATGCTAGACTGCTACAAACATAGACACCAGCATCTCTGAATGAAAAGATAGTCTGTTGAATAAATAACACATATTTAAAAATGCCTGAATAGGAACTTACAATATAAATGGTAAGAGCTTTAAAGGAGCCATTGATCTATGGAGTACATAATATTCATGGTAAAAATTATTGGAATATTTTTTACATGACTCATGGCTCAGAAGAAGCCATTATGGTCCTTAAGCAAATTATATATGTTGTGAAAATTGTCAAAGTGCTTCTTTTACCAGAAGCAAGTGCATCTTATCAGTTGACAAACATTTCATCTTTGAGGAAAAAAAAAACCAAAAGGAAGTAAATCCAAGGCTAAAAGAAGGTTAAAGAAACAGGGAAAAAAGAAAAGAAAAGGGAAAAAAGTAGAGAAAAGGGGAAAAAAAAAAGAAAATGAAATAAAAACCAACCCTTGTCCCACGTCAAAGTGTGTTTCATGCCCATCAAAGGAAGAAAAGCCCGCACTGCCCTGCCCCGCATCCCGTGCCGTGCTGCTGTCACACTTCATGTGAGGAGGGAATGCTCCTGCCTCTATGTGCCAAAGTCCGGGGTGCCAGCTCTTCTCCCTACAGGCCAAGAAATTACAAATGGGGACTAATTCATTCCAGCCACTGCTGCGTCCTCTATGTTGAATTAAGCTGCCAGAAGAGCGCTCCGCTTTCCCAGCCCGTGCCCCTCTGAGTGACATGGGGGACAGGCGGGGAACAGCAACCCACTGGCATCGTCTGCACCACCGTGTGTGGAGATGTGCTTCTTAGGGCTATGCCTACAGGTCCTCAACTGCCTCGGCACCGCCAAGCACTGACTAAAAACAGTCTCGGGTGCCCCCTTATAACTTCAAGAGCAACAAAACAGGGAGAAACACTGCCTTGGAGTACTTAGTGTGCCCAGCAGCCAGGTCCATTGCTCACCGGCATCTGGCTGACAGGCTTGTGCCTGGGCGCAGGACTCAGGAGGGTTTGCACTGCTCCTTCCCCAGTGCTCCGTGGGCTCTTCTCTGGCAGATGTTTTGCTAAGGAGGAGGGATACCAACTTAGAAAATTCCTCCACATGTCCATGTTGCTGTGATCACACTGCAGTTTATGCTATACCCTGGTCCTTGAAAATTATTTTGTTATTTCAGGCTGTAAAGATAAAAAAGGTTTTTGTCAAGACGTGTCATGAGCAGGACGTGGTGGCTCAGAGACTGCCTCTGATCCGTGGGATGCTGGCATATGCCTGGCAACTGCCCGCAACCAAGCTCCCAAGTGCTGTACAGCTCCAGGGTGCCCAGTCCCCAGATCAGCTCTGATGTGCTCCAAGGCTGGTGTGTGCGTGCCTGCTTTGGACACTTGGCAAAGCAGGCTCTACTGGTAGGCAGAGCACGCAAGTTTTCTCTTACCCAGGAATTAGAGTAAAGGGTGGATTTTCTAACGCAAAAAAGCAAGCAGTTGTATGGGGGAATATATTTAGCCAGTGTTTTCAGATCACATGTTCTGGGACTGGAGAGCAGAACGTTTTCAATACTGTTTTGGAACCACGCTATTCAGTATTGCAAACCTTGCTATTGGAAAAACCAGCAAATTGTGTTGCATCTAAAACAATTACTTGAATTACTTGTACCGTGATTTCTTCTCTCCAACTGTAAAGGTTTTATAGAAATGTGAGTTCTACGGCTACAAAGCCTTGAAAATACAAATAATAGTAAAGTGCTGCTTTGCATTTGCATAAACCTGTTTATCCTATACATGGCTTATTCATTAACTCTCAGAACAACCAGCAGGACAGCTATGGCATTCCTTATGACCACTTCGCTTGTGGCTGGAAATGCAACTATTTAAAAGGAACACTACGGAAAGTGAAAATAAATACCATTCCCGTGTGAAACAGCAGGAAAAATGCCACAGGAGCTGGCATTTGGCTATTACGTGGAACGAACCTTTCCTGTCACTTGGAAATTTCGGAGGGGAGCCTCAGCACCTGCAAGGATTGGGACCTCTATGCCACTGCTCACCAAAATGGACATGCAGCATTAGCAGTGTCCATCGCTGTGCTCTGCAGACAGCACTCGAGTTAGGGACAGAAAATACCTAGCTTCCTCATCTATTCCTCCTAGAGACTGTTTTCTAATCCTTGACTATTTCAATGTCCTATGAAAGGAGGTTTTTGCAACCTCTACTTGCAATGTATTTCCCAACCAGCTCCTTAGGAAAGCTCCTGGTAATCACCCCAGCTTTCCCTATGTTTCCTTTCTTACCCAAAACTTGCTCTGCATAAGAAAGGTGTTAAAACATGAACGCATTTTGCCTGTTTCATCTCCTAGCTTCTATAAAGATGAGTGCATGTTGCCACTGGTACAAGTGGAAAACTGGAAGTTTTGTTTGACAGCCGGTGACTTGCTCAAGGTCACAAAAGAGCCTCAGTTGCAGAGCTGGGAACAGAATTTGGTATCCTAATTCCTAATCTGGCAGCCTCACCACAACTCTCATCACGCAATCAAAAAGCTCCTTTTAAGGAATGCTTTTGTGACTAAGAGAAAATTCAAGGCATTAGAAGAAAGAGTCCTTTTAATTTGCCTTTGTTCAAACATTTATGCCTTTTGCTATATGGAAAACATGATTTAAACAAGATAGGGGATTACAGTATGATGAAAGACTCTAAAATCTTTGAAAAACAGAAAAGAATTATGGCTGCATTTAGGACTGTACTGATCCCACGCATCAATAAGCAAGTAATTAGATATTCCTTTAGTTTTATATGTAGCATAAGGAATATGTAAAGACCGGCATCTATTGTAATCTAGTCTGAATCCTACATGCAGCCTTTCACATTTCCGAAGAATACTACATATAACAGAAAAAATTTTCACAGCTCTTTATGAAGACTTCATTTTCTAAAGGTCCTAACTTGTTGCACTGCAAGTTTTTCAAAAAGCAAACCCAAACCCTTAAGCTGCTAAACTCAACGGGAGATTGCCCTGACCTGAAACAATCTGGGGTTTGGTGTGTTCTTCCTTGAAGAACAGCTCAGTAGTTTACCAGCTCTCCCAGGATACGTCAGCTTTGATATTTAGAAACTCTACAAGATAGTTTTATGTTTTAGGACAGCACCTCTTGCTTGCTTCCTCTCCTATGTAATGGAATACTATAATTTGGCAACAGTGGATAGAAGCAAATGAGTCTACTGAGAACCAACGTTACTGAAAAATTGTATACAAAACAATCTGAGCTGCACAAGCTGAAGTAAGCAGAAAACAACAAATATAAATAGGATAAACAAAGAAAATCAATGTAAATTTAAACCAATCCTTTGGAAAAAGACTGTTGCTTCTCTCTTTTTTAACACAACGGAACAATTCCCAAAGTGCAGCAAAAAATTCCTATTGATAGCATTGCTACTGTCATGAAAGTAGCTGGGAGAATTCAGGATAAGAGGTTTGTGACTTAATTTTACACTAACGTGTATTTTGCTCATTAAATTGACTAAAATTGCAACAGCAGAGCTGGGGAAATACAATGCAGGGACCCACTCCCCACCCCTAAAGTCCCAGCTCAGCCTGTAAAATGTCTGTGCCTTTAAAGCATTTGCAGTGACAGGAGGCCTTGTGTTTGCAGATGTGTTAGCCACTTTTTGATCTTTACGCAATTATTTTGATAAAGTGTTCATCTTGTTGACACTATCACTGTAGTCAATACCTAATGGCCCCCATAGTTAATTTCCTTATAAATATTTAACTTAATAGAAGTCCTCCCTTGGGTTATAGTACTTTTGACACTTGTATAATCTGAAACAAATCCTCTTTTTTAGTCAAACAGACCATGTTACACACACAGTTGGCTAGCTATTTACAAAGCACCCAATTAAATCCTACTTAATTCTCCCACTCTGACTATCCCATTGCACTAGTGTGCAGGCTACTGATCACACGAGATGAGGATCTTTCACTGAGCCTGGACACAAGTTCACAGCCAGCAGGACTTGATTGTACAAGAGCCTGCAGTGAAAACAATCCACCCGTCAAATGCTATATTCAAATAGTGAGGAGAATGTGCAAATTCAGAGGATTGAAGAAATAAGCTGAAGAATCACAGTTAAAGACAGGTAAATCTAGTTTAATGTTCACATGTAGTAGTTACACATCACAGAGATTAAACAGGATTTTAACTATAACATAGCTGCAGTGAAATGTAAGTAATTTCATACTAGAAAAATAGTCTTGACGCAGTTATCCGATTTTTGGTCTACTCAAGTTCATTTTAAGATGAATTTACATTACTGATCATAATGACTTTGCCCATGTGCCCTTCTGCAGTTCACTATTAATACTCTTTGGACGAAGGAAACAGCAACTGTTTTTGTTAATAGTTTGCCCTTTGGCTGCAAGCAGAGACCGGTTTTCAGTGTTTAAGTAATTAATAAGCTGTAGGAACACAAATTTGAGAAAAAACCTTTTCGTGCTAAATGAAGTTACCGAACAAATTTCTTGATCTAATTCAAGAGCAGATTAAAAAAAAACCAAAAAAACAAAACCAAACCAGTAAGAGATCTAAAGCATTGCCCCCGTAATGCAAAAAAACTAGATAGAATTCTTCTTGTCTCAGTAAAAAACCACATCTTACTGCTACTTTTATAGAATGCACTAAAAACCCCTGTGCCTAAATGACAAAAGTGTAGTCTCAAAATGTATAATACACTTACAAACATTTTTAGTCTAGATTGAGGAAAACACGTTGTATGGACTCCAAACAAGTTTATTTGCAATTAGACACCTCATGCAATCATGCAGGACCACTACCTAAAGCTGCAACTCTCGAATCTAAAGGACATTTGGGGACAAAAAAAGTCCTTAACATTTAACATATTTCCATATTAGCAGCTCTGTACTTGAGCTGCGATTTTCTAAAGAGATATTCCCAGAGATTAAAAAAAACATACACACCTTTATAATATTTACAAAAAAATATTTAATTAAAAATATTTTATAATTACAGTAGTCTATTAAAGCATATACTTTTCTCACACTTATAGAACATCTCTATATATACACAGTATGAAATGTCACTCATTTGTCTATACAATATGTAACATTCCTGCAGGGAGAAGAAAGCTCCCTGGGCCCCAATAAAATCCATCTATTTTAAACAATAGATGTCAAATATATCTACAAATGCTCTGGGAGATTAGTAAAGCTTCAAGATTCGGCTGCTCGGTCCCTTAAGAGTTACAAGGTTTCTAAAGTCTGGTTTAGGCTCGGTCCTCTATCCCGGGGCAGAGTCGCAACTTTTCCCGCTGCCACCGTGGGACACGCCGCCGCTCACAGCTGGCCGGGAACGACGAGAAGAGACGGAACCAGGGAGGAAGTGGGGGAGAAGGACACGGGGAGCTGGGGAAGGGGGGACCGCTGCGGACGTGCAAAATGGTGAAAAGGCTTGGCTCTGCCGGGGTGAAGCATGGGAACTGCTCGGGGGGTTGGATGGCTCCTTCCTCCGGTGCGGCGGGGCAGGGCCGGGCCCCCCCCGCCGCCGCCCGCCCCCCGCGTTGCCTCTGCGCGGCGCGGCGCCGCCGCACACCTGTGGGAGAGGAATGAATAGAGGGGGTGTGTGAACCGCTCCGCTCCAGACCGACTGGCGCCACCAACAAAACACAAGACATGCTTGATCAACAACCCAAAACAAACCAGGTCAAACAACAACCGCAGCTCCCAGGCTGGGCCAGGCGGAGGGAGGGATGCGCAGCTGCACGCCGCAGCCAGAGGCGCTCCGCGGGGGGGAGGGGGGAAACCCCAACCACCCGGTAGTTAGGGAAAATAAAATAACCACCCCGTAATTAAACACAAAACCCCAAAGCCGCCTGCGAGTACTTCTCGCCGGGCTCTGGTCCCCCTTCAGCAGGCTTCCCGCAGGATGCGGGGCGGCCGCACCGAGCCCGGGCGCTGCGCCGCGGAGGGCTGCGCTCCCCCCGCCCGCGGCCCCGCGCCTGCCCGGCACTCACCTGGGGAGCGGCGGTCAGCGGCAGAGGATGCTGTCCCCCGGCTTGTTAACAGAGCCTGCCTGCGCAGCAACCAAACACGGCAAATTAACAACTGGGGAGAAACGACACGGAGACCCCCCCACACTGCCCAGACCCTCTCCTGCTCCACGCACCCAGGCACTACCATAGCCCCGTCGGGAGCGCTCAGGGAAGCCCCCGGTGATACAGAGTCAAGGGGGTCACCGCAGCGCTGCGGCAAGCCCGGGGTGCCGGGGCACGCCGCTGGGCAGCCACCGTGGGTCCCGTACCGGGGAGTCGCTCCCCGCTTCCCGCCCCTCCAAAGCACGCTGCGTTCCATGTGCACAGCCCCCACAGCCCCTCACACTGGCTACACGGCGCGGAGGCTGGCAAACGCAGGAACAGCGCGCCTGTTCCAGTGTGTGCAAACACGCCGGCTACAGGTACTCCCTCGAGAGGCCGTAATTACACGGTACACACCGTGCGGCTGCCTGCCCGCACCGAGGGGATGCGGGCACCCACCGCGCACCGCCGGAGCGTTCATGCCCCGTCCGCCCCGTTCCCTTCGGGAGCTACGGCTTCTCGGCAGAGCCACGGCTACGAGAGAGGCGGCACATCACCGGGGCGCTCCCACGGCGGCCGGCGCTGACCATCGCGCCACGCCGCTCTGCTCCGCACCGCGTTCGTGTATCACGCACCTCTTACCGGGTCAGTGTTAAGGGCAGTCAGCGGGGTCCTGGGGGTGCCCGCGGGACAGCTGCCTGGGTGCAGAGCGGGCGGCGGCGGCTGCTGCCGGAGCAGCGCTGGGTGCGTCTCCAGAGCCAGCTGCAGGTCGAGGATGTAGTCGATGACGTGCTGTAGGATCTCCACTTTGCTGACCCTCTTGTTGGGCGGGATGGTGGGCACCAGCTTCCTCAGCCGGCTGTAACAGTCATTCATATCGCACTGCAGGCACAGCGCCGCCGGCTCCTCGCCCGACGGCGGGCTCCCCTTGCAGCCGCTGTGCTCGGCCAGGCACCGCAGAGCCGGGTGCCCTCCGCCGCCGCCCGCCACGCCGGGCTGCGCCTTGCGACTGGGGTGCCGGACGGGGCTCACGGCTTTCATGGTGCCGCAAGGAGGGAGGGAGACCTCCCTCTCCACCACCACCGCCGCCTGCTGCTGCCGCTGCGACCTCGGGAAGCCGCGCACGCACCGCCCGCAACGGGAGCGGAGCGCGGCCGCAGCGCCTCGATGGCGTTAACAGCGGCCGCCCCGGGAACGTAACCAGAGGCGCTCGCAGAGCCGCGCCAACAGCGGCACCGCAAACCCCTCCGTTCCGCAAAAAAACAATTTTTTTCTCTAAGATGAAGAGCCCGTGCTCCGCAGCCGCCCGGCGGCAAACACAACCACCTCTGCTGCCGCCGCTGGCCGCGCCGCCCCCTATATAGCGCGGGGCGCGGGCGGGGCGGGCGGCGCCGGGGGGAGGCGGGGGCACCGCGCGGCGGGGCCAGGCGAGCGCGGCGCGGGGGGGGGCGGCGGCGCTGCGGGGGGGCGGGCGGCTCGCGCTGACCCCCCCGGGAGGAGGCGGCGGCGAAGCTGGAGGAGGAGGAGGCGGTCCCGGGGAGGAAGGACTGCGGGAATGCGGGCGGGACCCGCCGCCCAGCGGCTCCCGGCGCCGTCCCCGCGGTCCGGAGCGCAGCCCCGCGCGACCGGCGCCGCTCCCCGCCGTCCGACCCGGACCAAGGCGGCTGCACCCGCCCTCCCATCCCCCCCATTCCCTTTCCCGGGAGGGTTGGCATCTCCTCGGGGGGTGAATCGCTTTTTTATCCTCTCGGTGTAGGAGACTTATTCCAGCTTTACGCATTTTTTGAGGGACTTGGGGACGCTGGTTTACAGGCAGGGAAAATCCCAAGCAAAACTTGAGGAGCGTGGGGGAGAAGGAAGGAGGAGGGTTTAGGGACTTCAAGCAAAGCAAAGCCAGGGAACATTAAATTAGAGCACATAACTATTAAAAATGCATGGAGATGGAGTATTTAAAATTCCTCCATGACATATAATATTAATCCGTTTTATGTAAAATTCATACCTGTAACTTAATTTGGTCCATTAATGCACCAGATCACGTATTAGTAGATGTACTATGTTTTAAATATGATGCTGGAAATGTCCAGAGTTCTGTACTTTGAGACAGAGCATTAAAATTAACAGACATATACTCCTGAGTCCTGCTTAAGTCATCTTGTGGCATATTGTAACCTTTTAATTTAATAATGCAGTGTTGAAACTTCCTGTTAATTCCTGCTAAGGATTAAGAGCCACTGCGTATTTGAATGGGACGCCGGTGTAAGAAACTTGGCTCCCGATCCTACAGATGCTGCAGCACTGCAAGCTGTCCGTGAATGAAGCAGGGCTGATTGTCCGGGCAAAGGGCTGAAGGAAGGAGTAAAGGCTGCAGGATCTGCCCCTAAGCTTGTAAGTCTAACCCAACAGAAGGGAAGAAATCCATAATGGTGATTAATGATTACATGTCCCCTCCAAGCTTAGTCACACCGGGTGATATATAAAGGATACAGTGGGAAGCTGTCAAACGCAGTACTTGAATGAGGGGTGAGGCTGGATCATCTGAAGCGTATAATGAAGCACACTTGCATTCTCTCTCACCTCTTAAAGACACGTGTTTGGAGGCTCTGCTTAGAAATACCCACACTTGTTTTCCTCATTTTGTCCCATATTGCCACTGCCATCCATGGCAGTTAGGCTCCTCTCAGCTTAAAATGCATGTGTGTGGTGTAAATCTTTGAGGTGTAAATCTAGACCTCAGTCTAGATTTATGCTACACCATGAGGATGTGATGGGAAGGTGTATTTCCATTACCTATGGGCTGGGTGATCCCAATTCTGTTGTAGTCATTGGTTTTATTCAGTGAAACTCCTTGAGTTTCCTTAGAGGCACAGGCCTTAAAGGGTGTATTATGGTTACTTGTTTTCTGAAGTCCTGGCAATATGGACAGATTTCATGTGCTGTCTAGAAAAAAAAAAAAAAGTAAATTATGGTGAAAATGCAGGCTCAAATCTTGCTGGTGACATTTAATTAAAATCAGCATGAAACTAGATATATTGGGCTGTTCTGTTTGTACTGAATCCCCTCTGGGAGCTTCTCTGATCTCACTGGAAATCTCTGGGAAACCCCAGATTGTAACTGGTTCCCCTCTAGTCCTCCCAAGCTAATTTGGACAGATTATTTCTGTACATGCACACAAACACACACATACACACACCCTGGAGCAGCAAATCCACCGAGACCACACTGGCTCTTGAAGATGACTCAGTATTTCTGTAAACTCGTGAAGAACCATGAAATGCCCCACCACCTCTTTTTCCATCAGGCTACTTCCACCACAGAGGGTACAAAGGAAAATCTGAGGGTCGGCAAGCGCTGAAGTTGCGAGAGGATTGCATGTGTCCGTGTAGCTAATGTATCACAGCAGAGATTTGTGGGAGAGGGAAAAACAGCCCTCCCCTTCAGCTACCATATAAATATTCAGGGTTTTCCTCTAGTAACTGGCTTTGATACTCATGAAGCTGATACATGCTAGTCCGACATACTCAGCTGAACAATACACACCAATTCCCTGTCAACAACAGGTCTGCTTTTGCTCTCCTTGAAGTCAGTGGTGGTTTTGTCATTGACTTAAGCGGGACTAGGTTAGGTTGGCTGCTTTTTTCAAAATTTAGGGTGGATGTACTGTGTAAATTACTTTAGAAATGGGTTGGAAAACCCAGAATGTTATCCATCTAGGTGGGCATAGAAAAACTCTTCATCCCTAAAGAGGCTTGTACACAAGAAAGAGGAACAGTGGCTATTGTTCAGGCTTTTGTCCTATTAATAGCAATATTTTTCATGATATGAGTATAAAGGGATTAACACTTCCGTTTTTCACCAGACTAAGTGTGGATTTTTAAATAAATTCTGTACATCTTTAAACATCTGGTCCCTTTCTGGCTGGCTGAAGGAGTTTGTCTGTGTTGGGTGGGTTTTTCTGTGCTCTCTTCCCACATCCAGAGTCAAGATTAATTTCCATTATAAGAGACTCTTGCAGTATTACCCCAAGATCATTGATAATGCTTGATTGGACCAGTTAGATCTATTAAAAGAGAATCAATGAGTTCAGACCACATCATAGGTGTTCTCTGAAGATTAGAAAAGTCACTTTTGATTCAGACCCAAAGTAAAACAAGTTGAAAATGAAAATTAAATGACTGGCCTTGTATGCCCTTGTGTCATGAGGATAATCCCATTGAAAATAACAAGAATGAATAATATATTCTGAATTTGTCAGTACAGGTCTGAGTATATGAACATGCCATTGACTCCAGGTGAAAAAATAAACCTGAGACATGGATGCTGTTTCTTGAGTCATGGCACCAGGGAAGGAGGACAGTCCATCCAAGCACAGAATGCTTGGACATTTCCTCCGACAGCAGTCTGGATCCACAGATGTTTGTGCATGATATGATGCCATTGAACCAACACATTATTTAAAATAGTCTCTGGACAGGTAAAATTTGAAGGGAACACATTAAGGTATGCAGAGGGAAGCAAGCAATCAACGTGGTTACTTACACAAGGTTACTTGCTATACCTACCTTAAGAGGGCATGAAATGCACACAAATGCTGAATGCATTTTTATTCTTAAGCAGGTTATGAAACAGTGGTTCAGTCAAGTGTCCCCGTTTTTGAGCTTGAGGCACACCGTGTCAGAGCAGTGCAGTAAAATCCCAAGCTTTCCTTTGCTGGAGGCTCATAACTGGTGTGACAAGTTTCATCCTGGTGGGCATAAAGTTACATGATACTGAGACTCCCTGCTCCCCATTCCTGTTGATTTCAGCAAGCAGCCAGAAACTCAGGATCTTGGAGGAGCTGCTCAACACCTAGAAGGGCTGATCATTAAAAAAGCATTATAAATCTCTGAATGGTTTATGGTTTATGAAGGAAATAGCAATTGATTCCTCAGTGGTGCCATTACTCTCCACTATTGCTATCATTCAAAAGGCAATAATGTTGGTTATTTACCTTCAATTAAAATATCTAGTTAGTTGTGATGTCATTTAAAATAGCAGTATAATGTGTTTAGTGCTCCCTTATCCAACACCATAGATAAACTCCTCTTGGCAACAGGGGATAGTGATATGAAATGAAAAATTGGGCAGGGGAGTGAGATGGAGGAAAGACTGTGTAAATCTTTTACTGGATTATTATTCCTACACGCCTATGTGTCCCTTTGGACAACAGGCTGGAGATGAGACTGCAGGCTCCTTTGCAGCAATGCCCTATGGATCCTCCCAATGGGTCAGGGAAGATCCATTGGGCATTCAGGGAGTACAGAGAAGTCACCTCACTGTGCAGAGTGTACCAATGGACTGAAATCCATCCGTCTTCTGGTACCACTCCTCACCAGGGATAATTCATCACCAAAGCTCTTGATCACCAGAACTTCACTTAAAACAGCCTTTTCCCCAAGTAACACCAGCCATCTTCAGTACTGTTGTCCTTATATCCCTCAAACTCAGAATCTAAATACAACTCATACACTTTACTACATGTGGGGTTTTTTTGGCTTTTTGGAGTTTTTTTTTCTCATTTTCTGATTGTGTTCATTACAGAAATTTCTTCTCAATAAAAAAAACCCAAAAGATTCTCAAGAATTTCTCAGTGCCCCCTTGCATGAAGTTTAATATAAAATAAAAAGAAGAATGGTTGTTGATTGCTCACAATAGCCATTCACAGAGAAAAGAGAATTGGTTTATTTTTCTTGCATGTTCATGTAGTTCCACAGGTTATGACTTCTTATGACTGGAGCACAAGAAGTCATTCTTATGACTCCTGCCCACTCCTTTATTCTTCCCGTCAGGTTTGTATACTAGAAGAAAGTCATATAACAACAGACATAACAGAGAGATGAGGAACAGAATTTAAACAGCCCTTCTCCATGACTTGATGGTCAAGTACGCTCTTTTTTACACAAATATGGAAATAAATGCATAAGGAAATATTTTACCTCAGTTAGTGGAGAGAATCAAAAAAATACTGTGATGAGTTTCATGTCTACAAGAGTTTCTTGCTGTGCTGTCTCCAGCATGGCTGTGTTGTGGGAATTTGTTCAAAGCTACCTTGTCCCTTTGAGAGTCTGCAGCAGCAGAAAACATTGGTATGTCACTGACAGGCGCCCTGGCATTTGCTGGTGGTTGTATGTCAGCTGGAGGCTAATGTCATTTAAGAAGGTTGCTTTGTTCAGGTGACCAGAAACACTGGGTTTGTTGGGTAATGTCAGATTTCTGCATTGACTAAAGCAAGCTTGTGGCAAGAAATATAAGTCATGTTGACAACCTTCTGCAGTGTGGTCCAAA